ATTCCTTGGCAATTCTGAGATATATTTCAGGCTTCTTGTGATCAAGCAAGTGCACTGTGTATGCTTCTTTATAATTCCTTCTTAAATCTTGCTCCCATTGAAGAGGTTAAACCTGGAAGTCCAGAATTAGGTTCTTTGGTTCTGACATTATAAGCCAGAATTTGAAATCCAGACAAGTCAGGGATTCCTGTTTGCATATAATTTGAAACAAACCCCTGTTGTAATGTCTTGGCTTGATTTACCTCCTCCTGTTCGCAGCAGCCCCAAAATAGAAACAAACAACCACTTGCCCATAATTTCATACTGAAAGACACCATCCCAGATGGCAAAACCAAAGGAACAGCACTAGATCCGTACATCTATTTATTAATAAACAATAAGAACATACAATGATTTTTTAATGAATCAGCTATAGAAGATCCACCTACTCTACCATACTCTTTCCCACAGAAAAATCCATAAGTGTCACAATAGGAGGGCCATGTCTTGAAGCAGCTAATTCCTAATGACAATTGCACTTCCTTTATTGCCAATCAATTTCATTGGCTGATTCTCAGTTCCAGTGTTATGAGAAGAGAAATATATCTGCATATTCTTATTTTCTTCTGTCAGGAGTAATTTTATAATTCTCAATTATGTTTCCTTTCAGCCATCTTTTCTTTAAAAGAAGGGGAGGAGCATATGTGCACCTACAAATGTTAATGAACTCCCGCTCCCATTAACCCCAGTCATCACAGTCAATGGCCACAGATAACAGATAACAGAAGCTGCAGTCTGACAGCATTTAGAAGACCAAAACAATCCACCCTGGTTGAAAAGCCCCCAATCTTTTAATCTCAACCAAGAGGGGTAGTGGTCCAATCCCTTAATCAGTTTAGTTGTACACCAATAATGATTATTCCTTTATACTATATGCCATTACTGTATACAATATTCTCAAATATGCTTAGATTACAAATTTATATACAAGTATTATAATACTGTTTAAATTCAATTTTTCATGCAATTTGTCTTTTCTACCAATATCTAAATCTCACTGAAATCAACAATTGCCACAACTTTATTTCAACTAACTTAATCTGTTCCAACCTATGCACTGGATATTTTTACTCAATTATCATCTCTGCTATGACTCAAACATTTCATTCTTGATTAGTCATTATAAGTTCAGATTTTATGGGTTTGTGAAATTACAATTCTTCCCTCTTCACATCCTATCATGCACATGAGCACAGATACCCTATACCACCAAAACCCCACATTGTTCCTTTCTCTTAAGGACAGCCTTACAGAAAATTTCAGACATACTTTGCCTTTCTTGGTGAGGATCTGTTTATAATGGAGCCAGCCCTCTTTCCTCACATCACTGAAAGTGACATCCGAAAGATCAGAGGTTGAATGCCGCTTTGAACGTGTGTCTTCAGAGGTACCCAAGCTATCCAAAGACTGTCAGAAGAGAGGAAAACATTGTTCAATAAATATCATCAGTGGAGAAAAAGAACATAGAAGAAAGAGAAAGAAGCTGACTGAATATAGAGAATAAAGTTGCGGTGATTAAATTAATGCGGACATGAAAATTATACAGTTGGATCTGATTGCTGCATTCGATTGTGTGAAATGGTGTTCGTTGATCTGAAAAGCAGACCCTGCACCTGTGGAAAAACATGATGATGATGATGAGGAGGAGGAGGAGGAGGAGGAGGAGGAGGAGGAGGAGGAGGAGACAACATATGTCCATATGACATCAGTTTTTGTTCCAAGTATGGATGGAGAAGGAAGAAGGAATATACATATGGGCAACAGGACTCATGAACTATTTTGGCAATTGTCAACTGACCACTGACTCAAATCTAAACCAACCCAACATGCTTCCTAAAGCTAATTCAATCTCATAGAATTGTTTCCCAAGAACAAGAGCACATGCCAGCGTTAGGCAATAAACCCCAATCCCATTTTATAATTAATTAACACCTCTTCAGTGGTGGATCATGTATCTTCCAACATGCAACACACCCGTGTGGAAAAGTAATTGCCTCCACAGCTACTGGATGCACTACATTTAGCTGCAATCAGACATTTCCTATAATTGGTGATCAGTCTCTCATATTTCTCTAGAGGAATTTTGGCCCATTCCTCTATGGTGAATTGCTTGAAGGTTTTCTGGAATGAACTGCTTGTTTCAGGTCCAGCCACAACATTTTGATGAGTTTTAGGCCTGGACTTTGACTTGATAATTCCAAAACAGTGAATTTGTTTTTCTTCATCCATTTTCTTATGGACTTCCCTGTATGTTGGGATTATTGTCTCGTTGCATGAGCCACTTGCATGTCAGTTTCAGCTGACAAATAGGCTGACATTCTCCTGCAGATTTTTCCGACATGCAGCAGAACTCATGCTTCTTTCAGTAACAGCAAATCATCCGCCTGGGACAGGTAAGCACCCCCAGCCATAACACTGTCACTTCCATGCTTGACCACTGGTGTGTTATTCTTACTGTGAAATACAGTGTTTAGTTTCTCTCAGATATAAGAACATCCATATATCCTGAAAAGTTATATTTTTGACTCATCAGTCCGTAGAGTGCTCACTAAGATGTCTGGAGGGTCATCCAGGCCCTCTTTGGCAAACTCAGAACAAGTATCAATGTTCTTCTTAATGAACCATGGCTTCCATCTTGCTACTCTCTCATGAATCCTATTTTTGTCCATTTTTATCCATGCTACATTCATGATTCACACACACACACACACCCCCATGCTTTCCTAATGCTGGTATAATGAACAGTGACTTCATCAAAGGTGAGAAAGGCTTGCAGATCCCTAGATGTTATTCTGGGGTGCTTTGTGATTTCATGAATAATGTTATGCTGCACTCAGGTAATTTTGATAGAAAAACCATTCTTGAGAAAAGCCACTACTGTCCCAAATCTTCTGCATTTCAAGTCAATGTTTCTAACTGTGGATTGCTGAAGCCCCCAAACTATAGAAATGATTTGGTAAACTTTTCCAGACACATAGACATTGACTTTTTTTATGTAGATCTTCAATAATTTAAGTAGGGCATGATATGCCTCTAGAATCTGTATGGTAAGAAATTCAGTATGATGATGCGAGTCAAAGCCTGGGATTTAGATAAGGCAGGGCTGGCTGAGATCAGCCCTGATTGTTTAATATAGTACTCACTCAATGGGCCCTAGTTTTCCATTTAATTGAACTGACTGGACAAAGGGGTTAATTACTTGTTCATATTGGCACATTTCATGTTGTATGACATTCTTTGTAAAATAAATGAAATTAACACCAAACTTCGATGGTATTTGTTCACTCAGACTCCCTTAATATATCAGTAGAACCCACAGCCCTCTGTTACTATTCAGTGGCAAGAATATGCAAAAAATTATGAAGATATAAAAGATCTTCATAGAGATATTAATGGGTAATCTCCCCATCACAAAAAATGGGCAAAAAAAATCCAACTTCTGCATTTTCCAGTGACAGTATCTGCAACCCACGGCAATCCCAGGAATAATAAAATGTGTCCCTTAGCCAGAAAAAAAAAATTACCTGCCCTCTTCTAATCCATATACAAGGAACTAGAAAGATTGCTTTTGAGTGTGGTGTTGGAAAATTTCTAAATCTTTATTTACATTTCCCCAAATTATGGGGAAAGAAGGAAACAAAATCTGTCCATTCACATTTTATTTAAAGAGAGGATCACAAATACTCACTCCATCAGTAAAGAAGCTTCTTAGCATACGTAAGCTTGGCACACGACTTGGCAACCTCCTGCAAACACAGCATGTGTATGGTTAGCAGAAACAATACAGAGTAAAAAGGGAGTTAGCTAGCTGTGTTCACTAAATCGGACCCTTTCACTGGGCATCCCTCATTTCTCAGAATATGAAGTTTTAGTAAATTAGGCACTGGCTTACAAAGAATTAATACTACAAGATTTATGGGATCAATCAATTCCAAATCTGCATGCAGAAACCATAGACTATCATATGTCTTAGAGAAAGGTTTCAGCACTAACAATTCCCTATAGATCATATAGACATAATTACATGTGTGACAAGGACTATTTAATTGGCATTTCTGGTTAAAATAACTCAGGGGGAGTTTTTAAAAAGGGCTATTTACTGAATCCAAATATCTAACTCAATATCAGAATATCTTCACATTTCCATATATTCACATACATATTCACTTTTCTTTAGGGAGCCACACAACTCTTGGATTATGTTTGTTATAAAAACCAAAGGCTGAAAGCAGAAGATAGCTGTCTCAAGAGAGTTCAAGTTGTCTAATAGAGAAACCACTGCTTATGTACACAACCTCAGCTCTGCTAAACAGGTTCTGCAAGTTTTTAAAAAGTGCTCTAAAAACCTGTTTGCCAAGAGACAAAGCATACATAAACTTCAAGGGAAGCAAAACTGTTCTAAGTCCTTCTGCAGAATTAGTCTGCCTTCCACTTTACGTGGCTGCTCTTCATCAATGCTGCATAGAATGTACAAGGTACTGGACCCACCTTAACAGTTTCCCCTCATCCCGAAATGTGTTCAGACCATCGTCACATGACTTGGAGCGTTCTGTGGTTATGGCTAAGAGGTAGGAAGACCGGCGGCTGGCTTTGATATTACCTGTGACAGGTACAACACACAAACGTTGGCAAGAAAAAGCAAAGACGAGCAGCACAGAGGGGCCAAAAAGGGCCATCTCATTCAAGCACCTGGATCCACAGAGATCAGTCTGCACCAGGTTGGCTTGCACAGCTGCGAGGGGATGGGAAAATGTACTAAAGTGGATGGGAACATTGTCCAGAGAGGTTGACCCCTTTTTGAGTCCAAATACAGCCACCTCAGATAATTCTGAGCATTAGGAAAACTCATCCCCCAAGTCATCCCAGAGAAGTACAGTGAGCTCCATTTCTAAGACCTTCTGTATCCTACCTGTGTCAATTTCCCATGTCTAATAAATGTGCAGGAAGTATTCCCCTGAGCTTCTACAGGCCAGTCCACAGGCAACAGAATAAATTACATTGGCCAAAAGCAAGCTTTCAGTCAAAAACACAACTTGGCCATTTGGCTGTATATGTACTGTTGTTACAGGAAGGGGCGACCATGAAAGAATTACTCATAAACATTACCCTGTAAAAACTGGGAGGCTCATCCTAACCCGCTTGGAGGTAAATAAGAGAAGCATATTTTAAAGCACAAAGCAGTAATTAGAACCTCAAGGGAAATGCCTATCATTTTTTGGCAAGTGTGAATTGATTCCTCTCCGATTTGTCTATCATACAACCAAGTATCTGTCAATGGTGGTTGCCAACATGGATTAGTGGGAAGAACTTGCTGTAAAGCAATATTGTCCCCAGTGCTTTTAGTGCTTTGATGTTCCCCATAAGCAATCATGATTATGAGAGAAGTGGCAGACATCATTAAGGTCAGGGGGCTGGAATCTGAAAATAGGCTGCCCACAAATTACTGTAATAAATAAATACATGAACAAATAAATCACCTGTGGGCTCTATCTTTCAAAGATGTAGAGTCAGATTTTGCCTCTTTTCAGTTTGGTTCTGATATTTCTCTTTATTAGCAAGAACTCTATGAAATCCATAGATTTCCACTCCTTCTGCATATCTCTTGACCTAAGTTCTTTATTAGAACCTGAAGAAATACTTCAAACTGGCCTTTTATTCTACAGTAGTCTGATATCTTACAGAGGGAAGTTAAATGGATTATGTTCACAAGAAATGGAAGCCATATTCTCCTTTGTCCTTCTTCCCTACACTTCCAAGTCTTTCACCTGTAATCCTTCCTCTTAAAGGTACATCTATATCTGAATAAATGCATGCAGGCCACAATATAAAATTCTATGTCAGTTCTTAGTACACATTTTGCATCTCCTTCCTGCTCTCATAAGCAAGAGGATGTGAAGAAGTTGAGCTATATGGATTCTAAGCCATATGTATTCAAAAATGTTCTATAGGTATATTAAGTATTCATGTCAGCATAATGATATCAAAATTTAGCAAGCAAGCATTTATAAGTAGAAAGAGAGAGAAAGAGAAAGAGCACAGTTCTTCCTCTAATTATACTTTTTGGGATTCAAGGACTGAATTTAACTTGAAGACCCTCTGTATGTTTATAGCCCTAAGAATATACTTTGCAAATGTAAAAAAGCTAATGTGACCTGCCCTCGGAGACATCTACCTTTTGTATCTCCGTGTGTGTGTGTGTGTGTGTGTGTGTGTGTATGCGTGTGCACATGCGCGCACACACACACACACACCTCCTCCCTGGTTGAATAATTCAGGCTTGTGGAAGCTTTTAATTATCGCATTCTACAACCCCTGGCAATTCTCTCATAGCATACAATGACTACCTTAGATATCTAAGGCACAGCTTAAGAATAACTGCTTTACAAGTCTAAGGCTTAAGGCTGCTGGTTTTCTAAGTTTCCTTCCCCCGTCCAGCTGCATCTCCTTATGATTCAGTTTCAGTGGAATTTGTTGTAAACACACTGCCATCTTTTTTTCCCCCCTTCTTAACATAGCAAATCACTTCAAGGGGAAAATCCTTATGAAAATCCTCCTAGAACAAAATAGGACAAAAATCTGTATTTTTCTAATCTGAACAAAATTATATTGCAACTCTCCCAATTATAAATACAATTTATCATAATGGTCCAGAGTGGGGTAGGAAAAGAACAGGAACAACAACAACATCCTTTTAACCACGCAATTAATAAAGGTACTGATTTTAGCAAGCTGCTGTTACTGAATTAATCCTTGCCCTAATATTCATTAACAAAAAGATGCTTTCAGAAAAATGCACATACTCTGAAACTGAGTTCTCAGCTTCTCAAGTGTTGCTTTTAATTTAAGCAATAGCCTGGTAACTATAGGCAGTGAAGAATTGCATACAGGTAAGTGAGGGAGAGATGGTGAGAAAGGATTGGAGCTCCCTAACAACTAGCATAACTTCTTTTACTAATTAATCTCAAGAATTTTGCCGGTCTTTCTCTTTTTTTTCACCTGAGTGAAAAAGCTTTTTTTAGCTGAAGTAGGTTGATATTCTGAGCTAAAGGTAGGGCTATCAGACTGGGCTGCAGAAATCTGGATATGCAATAGATGGTAGCAACATTATCAAAAAAATGAACTCTTTGCTGTCATCATTTTGTTTTCTGGATGTTTGCAATCCAGACTGGATAGCTCAAGCTTGAGGAAGGCAATGTTGGCTAAGTACTTACTGCAATCCTGGGAATAATGGCGATTCATGGCAAAGGTGAAGGTAGGTGAAGAAGGGCTAGCTGAGAGCACCGGGGCAGAATTCATGGCACTGGAAACAACAGAGGAAGCAGGGATGTGTTTTGCCTTCAGATCAATGCTGGGACTTGTTGGTTCATCTGAAACAGAACAACCATAAAATGATGGATGAGATAGCTGAGGGACCAACCTTTGACAGAGTTCCATAGATCTGAGAATTCTTCCAACTTTAAAAGCTATTCCAAGAGCAAAGTCCCAAATGTGCCCTTAAAGATCCCCCCTTGCTCTTGACAGTTGTCTCCCATCCAGACTCTAACAGTCTCCAGACAATGAGGCAAGATTTCCACAGCGACTCAGCTGGACCTGAGGCGATGATATATAATTGAGAATCATCAACATAGTGATGATACCTCACTTCAAATCTCTGGTTGACATCTTCTAGCCATGTTCAACTACTAGGGGTTTCATCTTAAACAGTAACAGAAGGGGGCAGTAGGAGAAGGGGACAGAAAGAAGACTATCTCCTCTGGCACCCACACAAGAATGGTAGCACCCAGTTCTCAAGGTACTTAGTCCTCAAAGTACCAGCAAGGAAGACGGATCAAAGAGTGCAGAATGCCCTCATCAGAGAGAGATTTTTTCCTAGATTCCCACAGAAACATGGAATCAGCTCTAAATGGTACAACCTGTGACTGTGGATTTATAGGAAAGGGTTACTAACAGATGGAACAGGGATGGATGATTCAATCTGAGGTCCTGCACAACTGCACAGAGGCAGAATTGCAGCCTAACATGGGCTACAATGATATATAAATAGGAATCATAGGAGAGAAGAGCAACCTGCAGAAGAGATGGTTGTGGCATAAGGAGTGGTAGACTAAAGGTCACGGTAGAGAAACAGAGATGAAGGAAACTAGGAAGTAACACACACCTTACCCAAATTCCATCCTTCTCTTTGCATAAAGCCAGGTAGCCTCTGTGCCAGTTTCACTATCGCTCTTTTTATAAAGGGAAGGTCCCCTTCCCTTACTCTCTGTGCAGAGGGAGGAGGAATCATCTTTCATAGGATATAAACTGTACGTATACAGTACTTATCTGGGGGGAAGCTAATGTGCTGATAGATTGCTTGGAAAAGTGGGTGCAGGCTGCCCAATTTCAGTTCACCACCTCAGCACTGACTCCATGAATCACTTATAATATAGACAAGTGCCTAAAATATGAACAAGATCGGGAAAGCATGCAAAGAATGGCTTTTTGAATTCTTGTCAACCTCTTCACCAGAAGTGCACATAGGAGGTGTCCATATTTTTTGCATGTTGCATGTTGTGCTTGTGTGTGTTTCCCCTTTACTCTTGTGTTGCCTCTGTGTATGAGCTGGAAAGCACAGGGCAGGCTGCATGTGCACAGCTCTTAGTCACATGATCAGGAGGAGGGCTTAAAATGGAGGAACTGGCCACATTCCAAGCTGCTGGATCTGGGGAATTTTCTAACTCAACCTTCCTTCTGCCAATTTTCTCTGCCCACAACGAATTTCCATTCTGTCTTCAGAGAGTTAACGTGGTGATGGACGGACAGGTAGCCCTGAGTCCCTCTACATAATTTCTTTCCAACAGTTCATTGGGTTGGAAAAAATAATAATGAGCTGGGCAGAGAAACCCCTGTTGTACCACAAATGTTTAATTCCTCTTTGCAAGTAAGAAGACAAGCTGGGTAAGGACTGTATATTGTTGCTTCAAGGAAAGCAAGACCACTCCACAAGGAGCCATCCAAACTCATTAGGTGACTACTCAGATAACTCTCCTTGTTTAATCCAGCTCAGTGGCAAGTATCTCAGGTCTTTATGATAAACCCTGACTTAACAGAAACCAGGGAGGGAAGAGGCATGAAGGCAAACCACACCCACAATTGCTTAGGCCAATTTTCATTTACCCCCATGACTCTATGGTTCAGGACATCTTGGTCTGGATGTGGCTTCATGACCGCAATGGCAAAGAGCACTGCCTTACACAGTCCCTTTCAGCTCTGCTCCTTTACATCCATCAATTACTGTGGGTCCTCCATCTGTGTTAAAGTTCTGGTTTTCAAACTGATAAACTACTAGCATTCATAATGATGTTATTGGAAGAGAAAGATATTGTTCTTGAGAATTTCCTGAAAATTCCTGGCAAAATCAATACTGCCTTTCTGCAGCTGTGCAGTTCCCATAAATATAAATCACACCCATATACCCACCCTCTAAAACTCAGAAGGGCCCAACCACTGCACGGCTATTCCATCTCTTCCCCCCAATGGATTGTTTTATGGTAGACTTTATTAGTACTGTTTGGATCTCACTGTAAAAATGTTATGAAGATGACAGAGGAATTATTTAACAAAAATCTGTTCTGGAAATACCGTATCCTAGGAATCCAACATACTTAGCTAACTGATTTACACATTCACATGAGGTTCAATATTGACTATGAAGAATAATCTCAAGCAGAAGAGCAAAAACATATATCGAAAACAGCACAAATAAAGGACAGGGACAACTTCTTTGGGTCCAAGGATAGCTACATAAATAGCTACTACTTCTGCTTCTGTTTCATTAGCCATTGAAAGAATGGACAGATACAAAGATTGTGCTATCTTGATGAATGTATCCTGCTTAAATGATACTATATGCTACATAGTACATGACAACATAGAGAAGCCTTTTCATTTGCTCTCAGTGGGACTTTTCTTGAAGCTGCCCATCTAATCCAAACATGCTGAGCTCTGGGGAAGGAGAAATGTGATTTTGGAATCACAGAACTGAAAGGATATCATAGGGCCACTTTGGTGATTATTTATCAGGTAAGTGCTTTAGTTCTGCCCAATATACATTTACTCTTTTCTTTTAATAGTAATTTCACTCAGAGCGAGGACACAGGAAAAAGCAGGTTTGCATCAATCACTATTCTAGTGATCCAAGGAATCCTTCCTAGGAAACTTCTACTGGCTTTATGAAAACCTTCCAAATGATCTTGAAATAGTGCCCTAGGCAAAACACTGTATCAGATCTATGCTTGTCAAACACCTCCTACCACAGAGTATTGTTTTGTCAACTTACCAATAAATGGGATGAATGCAAGGGAATCCTCTGGTGTAGCTAAAGGGGCCACACCCCTCTTGTTTTCTTTACCGGCTGCCGGCGCCGGGGGATCGCAAATGTCTGTTTCCTTTAGATCACTGGGGAAGACAAAATTCATCTGTCTTGCAGGAGGAGGCATTTTACGTCCAGTTGGGGGCTTTTGTCGAAGAACCACCTCATCTTTTCTTTCCTCAGCTTCAGGCTGCAATGGTTCCATAGCTTGAGAGGGAGAAATCTGCTCAAAAGGTTTCACATCATTCTCCTGCTTGGCTGATCTTTGGTCCATCAGGATCTCTGGGCTGCTGACCAGGAAAGGGTCTGGACAAGTAGAAGGAGCACTTGGGAGCACAGCAGTAGGCAAAGACTTCTCAACATAAGATGGTGTTGATTGACTTAACTGCCTTTGAGAAATATTAAATGTTGGAAGGTCACCAAAAGTAGCATCGCGGAAAGAAAGAGCATGGAGCAAGCCAGTCCGACGCTGGAATGAAGGGCTGTAGCTTCGGTAGCCAATATAACCAGAGTCATCAATGCTCTGGAGGTTGGGCTGAGAAGGGTGTTTTTGCACATGTACAGAGGGAGGATCTCTGGAAGAGACAGAAGGAATACAAGTACTTGGATGATTAGGCTGGGCTCGGTTAATTTGCCCATGCTGGTAAAACCTGTCTGATGGCAATATACACCTCCCATAACTGGGAGAAATCAAGTCAGCCTGTTCAAGAGCTTCCATGGACTGCCCGTATTTCACCAGATAGTTATCTGACCTTGCCCGGTAACTCCAGCTATCATGAGCTGAAGGCTGGATTAAAGTTTCTTGGGAAGCACTATGAGACCATCCCCGAGAGGATGGAACATCTCCCAGATGGTCTTGTGATATACTTCGGTAGCGAGGTGGCATAGCACTGCACCGCTCCTCTGAAGAGCTTCGGCGTGGCACTTGGCTTGAGATCCAGTTGGACAAGGCCTGTTGGCATTCTAGACGACTGACAGACTTGGGTCCAGCTCCAATGCATTCCCGGGAGGGCCTGCCCTCACGGTGAGCATCTTTCAATCCACCATGAGGGCGATGATCAGGAAGATGTTTGGGGGGTCCATAGCAGCCGTGGTTGGGCATAGAGTAAGTGGGAGGAATGTAAGGTGAGGGGGAGGCTATAGAACCTGGACAACTGCTATTGGAGTAGTGGGAGAAAGAACCAGAAGCTGGGATATGCCTTGGAATAGGTGCCCGCTGAGTCATTCCATACTGGACCTCCTCTGTACAGTGGGCAGGACTGGAATGGTTGCTACTGAAATTCTGTTTGGATTCAGTCCAGGCACTTGGATGAGTTTTGTGGATTGCAGTGCTATTCAAAGGAGAAGATGGGCCTGAGGATCCTGAATGGTAGGACTGCCTATTATCCACCTGTTGTCCCTGGTAAGTCTCAGCTGCTGAAACATCCCGAGGAGAGGGTCTTGACTGGAACGGATAACCTTTACGAGGATAGCATACTGGTGGTGGCTCAGGAATGCTCTGTGCCCCTCCAGAGTATGGTTCATTACCCTTTAAGTATGCATCTTGAGAATATGCCTGGAAAAAGGAACAATGGAAAAATGGGTAAGGACTGGGCTAGAAAACTGAGCTATTGAGTCAACTGTTTAACTACACAGGCAAACAGGTTACAAATGATATGGAGACATCATTATTATTGATAATACTTCTCTGAATTATCAATAAAAAAATCACAGAGTTGGAAGGGATCATTTAGGCCTTCAAGTTCAACCCCTTGTTCGGTGCAGAAATCCAAATTAAACCTTTCAGACAGACAGCTGTCTAGCCTCCAGCTGAACATATCCAATGAAGAGGAGATTACTACCTCTCTGGATAACTGATTTCACTGTTGAACTGCTCTTACCGTTTTTCCCCCCAATATTCAGTTGGAATCTGTCTTCCTCAGGTTAAATTGTAAGTTAAATGATATTACCCCCCCCCAAAAAAAAATTTTGTGTGGTTCCCACCCTAATGATATTCCAGAGGTCTTTAAAAACATGGTTGTTCTCCCAGGCTTTCAGGTAGGGTGGTTGTTGAGCCTCATCAGTGATTTCTTATGTTCCTTTTTATCGCCTCTCTATTTTATGTTGTAAGCTGCCCAGAATCATTCTGGACTTGGGAGGCCTCCAAATCCAATAAATAAATAAACAATCCATGTCCAACACTCTGAAATAAGAGGAAACAGGACTTGATCTTCTTCCATGTGACATTTCAGATGTTTAAAGAGTGCTATCATATCCCCCCAAGTCATCTTTTCTCAAGACTAAACATATGAAGCTCCTTCAGTCTCTTCGTGGGGCTTAGTTTCTAGTTCCTTGATCATCTCTGATACCCTTTTCTGAACATATTCAATTTCGCAGAATCCTTTTTAAAGCATGGCACCTAGAACTGAATATAGTGCATGAAGTATGGATCTGACCAAAGCAAAAACAAGTGGAACACTTAATTTCCCATAATTTGAACATTCTTCTTCAGTTGACAATGCCTAATATTTGCATTTGCCTCCTTTGCAGCTATATTATAGTGCTGGCTGATGCAAAGTTTACAATCAACCACTATTCCATTTTTTTCCACAAATACTGTTACCAAGCCAATTACCCACCATCCTATATCTTTGCATTTCATTTTTGTTCCCCACGTGAACAATTTCATACTTTTAAACTTCATAATTATTTTCAGCCTGTTTTTCCAACTTACAAGATTATTTTGAATTGCATTTCTGACTTCTATGTATTAGCTTTCCTACCCAATTTTGTATAATTTGTCAGTTTGATAAGCACTCTCTCCACCTCTTCATTCAAATCATTAATGAAAATACGGAAGAGCAAAAGACCTAGGACTGATCCTTACAGCACTCCATTTGCTGAGGAAACATTAAAGTGCATTCTACAAATAGGATTTTCAAGCCATCTACACATCCACTTGCCATTCCACCCAGTCTACAATAAACTAGCTTGCTAATCAGGATGTCATGGTTCAGATGTGGCTGTGTATACTAGCATTACACATTGCACTTCAGCAATGAAATACTTTAGGGCCAATTCTAGCAGTCAGATATGTTTTCCTCAGCTCTCCAGATGCCAACTGAATGACAGTGAAGGAGCCAGGAAAAGTAGTTGCAGTATAAAGGAAAACTACAACTACAGTGTTTTGAGGACAGGTGCCTTACATTTTATTCAAAATTTGGCCCTCTAGCAAAACTAGCTGCTAACACTAAGGTTCTGTAGCAAACCACTAACTTGTTTTTGGAAGTTAAAAATGGAAGCCTTTTAAACTTTTACAACTCCCTGTGCCTCCTTCTGCCCAGAGCACCCATCCCATGCTGAACTTAGTCTCTAAGAGACTTTCTTTCTCTTCTCCTAGACTTTCACATTTATTAGCATCACTGTTCTTCAGGTTCTTGGTCCTCTTTCCAACAGACTCTATTATCTGCACCTTCCATGACAACACAGAGCCCCTCCAGTTTCTAGAGTATAAGATGCTCCCCAACATTGCCATAGCCACAAATGTCTTCCTTACTACACACTTACAAATTCACCAGATGCTGTGTAATTACACAGCAGTCCACTGAATTGCTGGCAATAAAAGAGTTGCTGATCTTTTAGTTCATATTATTTTAGAACATATTTTTCTTTCTTTTTTTTTAGTTCTGTTTTTTGGTATATGTGTATGAAAACAAGTGACATAGATTTTTTTTTTGATGTATAAATGTGATAAGATATAGAACTCTCATTTGCAGAGGTTAATTCAAAAGTGAATTTAGGAATGTGGGTGCAAAAGCATCCAAGAAGACTTTTGAAAGAGAGTGGCTAGAGCTCCTCTGCTTCACCTCTTCACTGGTTTTCCAAGAAGGCAAGAAACTTGGCAGTGGTTATAGCACCAAGGAAGAACCATGACGTGTTGCTTGCCTGTCAGTTCTCTGGCAAGCAAGGTGCCAATAATCCCAAGCAATGGAGAATTTAGAGGGGCTGGCCACCAAGGGAGTCTTCACCAAACTCTCCAAAACAAGGCCCCAATACTGTGAAAATCACACCTCTTAACTGCTATTAACATCAGAGACTTATCAGGGGAGAATGTTTATGATTCTCAAAAAAGTTATGCAATGACAGTCTTGGTATGTTTTCTCAGAAATAATTCCAATTAGGTTTAGTGGTGTGTGCTCCAAAGTAAACATAGGATTGCAGCCTTATATTTATTTTGCACCTTATTTAAGTATGCTATGCTACAAACCTGTCTTGAATACAGTATTAAAGCCAACTCCCTCCTTCCTCAATCACCAGACTTCCTGTGGCTGGAGTTTAAGGAAAGTTGAAAATAACACTGGAGATTTGGCAGGGAGTTGTTAGTTACTTAAAATCCCTTACAGAAATGGATGCTGTGTGTGTTCTTCAGAGCAACTTGAAGCTATGACCATAAGGAATCAGGATAAGGCTATGTCTTCCATTAAAGAGAAGGAAAAAGGAAAAAAAACTAAGAAATACATAAATCTCTGAACTCCAGGACGAAAAATGGGCTGACTCATTTCACATCTAACATTCTGCAAGCTGGAAGCCATACTAGGACATCCTGGGGTGCAAAGAAAAGTAAGCTGCATCACAGTGAAAAATGTCTAGTCAGATGTGCTGAGAGATGGTCTGGAAGACTACAGGCGTGGCTTCTATCCCACCTCAAAGGTGCCCTTTTCTCCTTACCCACCCACTGCAAACCATGGAAAGACCTTTGTTAGATAATAATAATGCCCAAACCCCGTGCTGAGGACCAAAATGTTCTCAACTGCTCCTGGCCCAGCCCTTCCATCACACGCTGGAAACTTGCCCTTGTTAGATGAAACCACATTTCAGGCCAGGAACTTGCCAAGTTCCAAAAAAGGAGCTATGTTTGAAACCAGGCCTCGGCTTAAAGGGGCCACAAGAATCAGAAAAGAAAAGAAAAGAAAAGAAAAGAAAAGAAAAGAAAAGAAAAGAAAAGAAAAGAAAAGAAAAGAAAAGAAAAGAAAAATAAGGCTATATGGCATTGTTTATTTCTGCCTGGCAGCAGCTCTTGCAATGTTAATTAAATACTCAGCTCCTCTTGCTTAATCCTGAAGCAGGATAACAAGTCCATTAAAATATATACGTGCTCTATTCTACGTGCTGCCCAGGGGTGGCAAGACTTCTTCTTAGATCCAAATCCAGCCTTTCTGCCTGCCAAGGAAAAGTCACCCTAGTTCTGGCCAGGATCTGTCCCATCATAAATACCACAATGTTTATTCTTACAGGGATGAAATGCTTAGAATTTAAAATCATTACCTTTGTCTCTTCTGTTGTTGTATTTCTAGTCCTGTATTTTTGTTGCGCACTCTCGGTCTCCCTTCTTCAAAAACAGAAATGTTCCCTTCCCTTGGGAATCTCTAACGCCCAAGCTAATATTTCTTCTCTTTCTCAATCTTCCTTTTAAGTGTTGCTTTCCAAAAAAATGAAATAAACTAGGACGTCTCAGTGTGGGAGGGGTGAAGAGAGCCAAGAATGTCTTTTCATGCATCCTGTCAAGAGTCACTCCGTAACCCCAGGCTCTCTCATTGGCTGACCAAGCCGGCTTCCGCACCACAGGAATGCCGACACACCCCTGTGAGGCACCGGGGCAGGGGAAACCCACACAAAGGTTCCTTTGCTATGCGACGTGAAAAAGCAAAAGCAACTTTGGGTAACAGCGCCTTGCACAGACCTAGAGTTACTGCATCTCTGGCTGTAACCCCTTCCACCAGTGTTTAATTGCAGGCAGAGTAGTGCTCAACACAGTTCCAAAATGCCTTCGTTCGAATTTGGAGGTTGCTGAGAGGCTATTATAATCCAAGCCCCTGTAATGAAATTGTTGTATGTATGTATGTATGTGTATATATTCTATTTATATATATAAATAAAAACCTGTTCCACACACAAAGTTGATCCAGACGGAGACGTTGTGAAGATGAAAGATGTCAGTGTGCCATACAGTGTAGCACAATTTCTAGAATGAAATGCTTAGAAATCTCAATTCTTATTTTAGGGGGAAAAAAATTCTAGTCGTTTATATATGAAGATAAGCTTCAAAGCCTGGAGAAATGATCCCATTTTCTCACTGCCTGCAGTAGAGAATATTATCTGCAATAAGCCTTAGCTGAAAGCAAATAGCAATAGGCAATGTTACAAAATGCACATATATTAAAGTAAAAATGTCTTCTGGTGAAAAAGGAAGGCCAGAACCATTTTAAAACTCACACAAGGAAAACCTTGAGCACTGGGAAGGAATGACAAGGAGGGGGAATGTTCATCCAAACAAGCGCCAAGGATGCTGCTAATACCTTGCTAAATGATGTATTCACTTTCATTCAACCCCCTCCCCAAAAAAGAACATTAATTATAATGTTGAGGTGGAGCCTGCCTACATTATTTGCAGTATATACTGTTCTGGCTGCCACAGTCTAATTTTTGAGCCAGCTATATGTTGCACTAGAGACAACAGATTTCTTTTAATGGTTTCAGAAACGAGAAATTCTGGACAGAGAATTAGTGGAGAACAAGAAAACAAGACTGCTTAACCCCTTTTGCTCTACTCTGAACATCCACCGTAGAGTTCTTCCATCTGCCATTCTTTGCCCCTAATTGCCTCATCCCTGAAGGTTCTCTTCCTTTCAAAACACTAGCGTGTGTGTGTGTGCATGCACGTGTGTGCTTGCATTTGTGCAGTTAGACCCTCAAAAGATATTTGGGGGAACATGTCATCAAATCCAACTGCTCTCCAACCAACGCTCAGGAGAGTATCTCTTGGCACTGGCAAAGCACTCACCAGTTGCAGAATATCCTCATCTTTGGGCATGATGGAAAGTTCCAAAGCATCTTCACTGTAGAGGAGAGAAGGCATTTTTAGAAAGATTATTGGTGATTAGAAATTCTCTACTGCACTGCACGGTAACAAGGCTCAAACAGCGCTGCGCTCAAAGGCAGACATCAGGACAGACATCTAGACCCCAAACTGGCAAGGCTGCCACAACACGTTTGTGTTCTGTTGGATCCACTCCCACCAGCTTTCCTAACTTGGTGTCCTCCCAAATGTGTGGGACTATGCTCTTCCCATTATCCCTAGCCTATTATCATTTTGGCCATACTGGTGAGGAAGATAGGAGTTGTAATCTAAGTCATCTAGCAGATTCCAGTTTAGAAAAGCTGGATTACATTTAAAAAGCCCCATGCACAAACACACAAGATTGCTAAATTCAGAGTCTAGAATTATCTAAGGGCACTATTGTTCTCCAGGTATTCTGACTCTTGAATACACAGTCACATTTCTTTTACCCAAACCAATACCAGCATACTATGGCTATGAAACATGGTATATTATAATCCACAACTGAGCTCTCAGCACCATCATAGTAAGGGAAAAAAATTATGTAGTAATTTCATGAGATTATTACTGCAAAGCATTTGTCCTACCCCCATGATCCTCAATCAAGTGACCCCCTCATTGGCTCAATATGAGAGACAAACTATACATTATGAGCAGATATTTTAAAAATCCCTACAACAAGAATGGGGAAGCTGTGGGAACCAGCCGTTGCTGAATTACCACTCCTAGCATCCTTCACGATAGGCCAAGCTAAGTGGAACTGCTTGGAGGTGCAGTTGAGCCACATCTGGAGAAATAGAGATTCCTTACCTCTCCTCTAAAATGTGTTCCATTTAATGAAAAACAGATTTTTGAATGAAGGAGAACGGATGGAGAGGAAAAATGCTTATTTTTTCTGTGCAAAGTATTTTTCCATAAAACCGGTACAAATGATACTGATGCTGTTCCTCCACTTTTGGGGTTCCAGATACATTTAACTACAGGGGTTAGCAATCTTTCCAGGCAATGAATACCTTCAGACAATTTTGCCTAATGCCACAAGCAATTTTTAATGTAAATTATTTTTAATAGGGCCAAAATTTCATGAGATCCTATACAAGAAGATAGGGATCTCCTTAGAGATGGCTTTCTTATAAGATCTCACTCTCTTCCATCTTTTTGGAAAACCAGTTGCACTGCAACTTTTTTATCTATCTGAACCCAACCTTAATTATTAATACAATTAATAATTGTATTTTTCTTAAAAACCTTCATTTTCTTAAAAAAAGGAATAGAACAAAAGACTAATCAAAACATCAGAAGTTAAACTTAAATGTCGCAGGAGAATTAAAAACAAAACAGCACATTAAAATGAATGGATGGCTTATGATCAATAAGGCATGGGGACAGAGGGGAATGGTGTTTTTGCTTGATCCCGCAAGAGTAACAGCGTTAGGTGTATCTCCCTGGGGAATGCATTCCATACATGAGATTCCTCCAGCAATAGCACAAATGCATAGGCAGGTACAGGTGGGAAAAGGCAGTTCTTTAGAGACAAGGTATGTATATCATAGTAATAGCCCATTTTGCTCACTGCTGTTCATTATGATTTGGCAAGAGCCCTCTCAGGTCACCACAAGGTTTTTCTCACCCTGCTAATCAGAGTTTTTGGAATTAAAACAATCTGAGACTGACCAATAAAATGAGACTGCATTGCATTTCTCTTAGTAGAAATTACCACTAAGCTGCAAGGAGAAACATGAGTCAATAATGGCCATTTGTCTCCCATAATATATTTTAGGTTCTCAGCTGAGATGGAATTACACCAGCAATCTCCTGATTCAAAACCCACATCTTGCAACTACATTAGATGCTATGGATTCAACAAATAGAGTTCCAGTTAATGCGTCTTCCATTTTCTCTTCCCTTCAGCACTGAAGCTAGGCCAAACTGATCCTCATTTTACCAAGCCTTTCATTTTGACTTCATCTTTTTTACCTCAGGTAGGAAAATCAACCATTTATTTCCTATGGGATGGAAAATAATACCAGTTCCAAATTTCAGAGCCAGTAGTGGCTTTGATGGCAATCAAGCCTGCAAGGTTTTTCCAGCTCCAGTTTCTCCCATATGCTCCCAGACAACTGGGAAAGGACCACAAGTCAGAAGAGCAGAAAAAATTGTATGTATCAAACTTTTTGTAAGACTTACACATCTTTTAATGAGCAATATTTTCATCTAATTTCTGAACATGTTTACCTAGTTGTTGTCCTTTCTGTTCTCCTCTGGCTAGGTTATCTTTTTCCACATGCCTTTGATGTTCTGGGCCAGTCATTTATATATATCTATATATTCATTCCAAGCTGGATTGATTTTCACTCTGCACGTTCCCCAGTCACTATATTTAGACTGCCTTCACAGGTCAGGTTTGCCTCCCCTGGAATCCATTTGTGATTCTAAAAGTCAATGCCACATTTTTTAAAAAAAGGCTATCCAATGAGCTTATTGTGAATGAACAAATGTTCCTGGTTGCCCTTGCGTGGCTCCTCTTGTTAAGGCAGGTCAGAAAGCCTCCACTCCTTGTTGTTCAGTTGTTATGTCTCAGCAATATGTCTCTGGCTTGCTCAACTCTTTAACAAGACAGAATTATAAAATTATAGTTGCCTTGTAGGCCAGTTTGGTCTCTTCAGTATTCAGTAAGCCTTCATGGTGTACTAGTTTCAATGCATCTTCTTCACTGTCCTTCAGATATTCTTCTAATACCCTTTTTTCTTCTCCAACTGTCTGGTGTACTTGCAACATTCCATGCCCACCTATGTTCCTTGGTAAGTAGAATCTGTCAACATCGCTGTGTGGATGAAAGGCATGATTCATTGTCATTCTTTTTCTGGTCTTCCTGTCCAGGGCTTCTAGTTCTGCTTCAGTCCAGTCCACTATTCCAGCTGTGTATTTAATGACTGGAATTGCCCAGGTGTTAATTGCC